TGGAACCAGGTTCACAGAGAAATCATGGAGAGAGCTGGTGGGTGCCTTTAATCATCAATTTACTAGGCTCTGACAGATGTAATGAACAGATTAAATATATACACTGCTCTCTTTTGCTTCAGCATTGTTCAGGCCACACAGTCACCCTGGAGAGCAGACCAAGTAATACCCACACCACTGTGAATGTGCCTAACTTCCTGGCCTCTGTACATGTGAACACATAACAGGGTAAGAGGAGTTCCTCTAAGACATACAGAATGGGATGAGGCATCATTATATAAACTGAAGATGGAGGAAAGGCAGGTGAAACCCACACTCTTTGCCCACTCACTTTGCAGATATTTATAGCACAGCACCCCTCTAGAGTGACCATGACTAGAGTAACACTGCAGATACCACCGTGGATCACAGAGATGACAGGCCACAAGGGTTGGAAAGGGAGGTGTATGTCAGGCTTCACTAAAGAATGGAGGAAATGTGGTAACAATACTATTAGTGACTTCTATAAGCACATGAGGACCACCTGGGTCAGCACTGCCGCATTCAAGCCCAAGAAAAGGCTGGGGCAGGGCTCTCTGCCACCGGAGCAGGAGATGGTTGTCCAACTCCATAAGTTGCCCAGTTGAGTTGGACCAACCTGAGCTCACTGAAAATGAGAACTGCAGTCAGGAGGGTTTGGCCTGGGTCTGTGGCCTTCTGGGGAGTGCACGGGACACTTTACAGAGACAAAGAGTCCAAGACTTGAGACCTCCTGCAACACTGAGGCATGCACAAGTGAGTGGGTTGAAGAAGAATGGGAAGCTTTCCTGGAGTGGATTTGTGCACAGAACTGTCTGTGACAGGCACTGGGAAGTTCTAGGGCCTGCAAGAAACAAGGACAGGTGGTGATTTTTCTCTTTCTGCTGACACAGGGTAGTACCTAACTGAGTTCAAGTCCGACATACAGAGTTTATACTAGATCCACCTCCAGTGACCTCACAAACTTTGGGATCAAAGTGAAAACAAGGCCAGGTACTCTGTCTTGAGGAATGCTAGAGCTCAGGCTTTTATTGGCTCCACAGCAAGCATCCTGAGCTCCACTTAGGCCAAGTCCTGCAAAGCACCTGCCTTTCCTTTCCTCTTTCCTTGCACCCCTTGTTTTATTTTCAGTTTTCATTTCTACTCCTAAGTCAGTAATACTTTTAAACATTAAATTCTAGGGCAATTTAAAATAAAAGTTAAGATACCATTCATTTCATCATGTTCAATTCAGTAACATATAAGCACATCGTCAATTTGTACAATTTCCACATCTGTTGAGTTCCAGCTTTCTGCTCAGTTTTGGACCCATCCATACCCTTGTCCTCTCCTGCTATACCCCACCCACCTCTGACCTTTTTTCACTGTGATTTAGTACTCTGGGTCTTTAATAATCATTTATTAGATTCTGTTCAGTCAAATTTTATTGGATGACACTGGCTGCTATTGCTCTTTGATAGAAGAGAGAACCCCAGATAGTCAAAATCTATGAGGAAAATGTAGAGATCATTGTGTGTCAACTCATCTTTTCATGTTGGAAAAGCTTTCCCATGATTTCAGTGATAGAGTGGAGCTAGAAAGGTCTGATTCATTGCATTTGAAAAGCAGAAACAAGAATAATATAGAAACAACAACACGAAAACTTTCCTTACAAAGCATATTCAGACAGATAGTTTGTGATACAGGTGTGAAAGAGGTGTCATGAGTTCATTCTGTGAGAGAAGAAAAATTCTTATAAATCAAAAGAGAATCACCACAGGTGACCAACAAGGGCAGAAAATGCTGAGTCTCCAAAGCTGATTCATGCAGGTACACATCCCTGAGATGTGCTGAGTCTCCACCTGATGGCAGGTTTTAAGGCAGGTGATGAACAGCACTGGGGAGAACATGGTGGTGGAGCAGAGCCCTGTCTTGCAGCTCCCATCAGAGCACTACACAAGTGTCCCTGGATCTGGCAGGATTAACAATAGAGGTTTATCCCTCACAGAGAGCTGTGCAACTTTACAAGATTTCTTTTCAAGAGTTTGATTCACACCTGTTTGAAGCAGGAAGGAATCGGGACCATCCCTATCTTCCATGTAAAGGGTGTGGGGCATCAGTGTGGGCCACAAGAACCAGGGAAAGAAGCTAAGGAATCTGATCATGAAATAATACATGGATGTGAGAACAAAGACTCGGTTTTGAAAGTGAAATGTCTCTGATATCAATGTGCATCCACACATAGACATGTAAGAATCTACATCCAAGAACGGTGTCTCAGCAGTGTAGTTACTTATGATGACACTGGCTCAAAATAAAATAATTTTAAAAACAGAATTTAGCATTGTTCAGGGTAAGGCCCTTGTCATAGTTTATGTCTGTGGCCCCCAGACCTCGTGCCTTTACATTATGCATCTGTAACTGGTTCATTGTTTAGCATTTGGATTAGGGGTTTGAGTGCTACACAGGCCTAGGTGTGGAGCCAGAATATGATATAATTGCAGGAAATAGGCCTGTCTTGCTCTTTTACCTGTTTCCTCCTTGCTGTTTGCAGCCACCATGAACTGTGGCCCCACCAGGCCAGCCTGCCTTGGAGCCAACTGAGTATGGACTGAAAACTCCAAATCTGTAAGAAGTAAACCTTTCCTTTCCCAACTTTTGGTATCAGGTATTTTTTCTCAGCAACCCATAAAAGGTAACAAAGACATCCCTGCATTCAATTCCCAGAATTCTGTTAAGGAAAAAACAAACAAACAAAAAACAAAAAACTGGGAGCTGCATGAGGGGCTTCAGAGTACCATTGCCTGGTCTTTCTGAAGAGCTGTGTACCCCAAGTAGCTTGAACCTCCACACCTTTCTTGGGCACTTTGATTTAAAAAAAAAGATCAATTCCATGAGGGAATTGGAGAAATGAAGAAAGGAGGATGTTCACCCAAGAATGCAAAGTCTTAGTGACAATGGAGAAGAAATTCTCAATTCTCTCCTAAACTGCATGTTGACCACAGTTAATAAAAACTGCTACACAATGGGATTATAGTCCCAATAACTCTGAAAGAATTTGTAGGTTAAGAAGGTGGTATATACTTTATCTAGACTGATTCTTTCTAAAAAGGAGCCATAGGTCAAAAGCACATTTTATCCGATAAACATACATAATCATTATGAATTTCTAAGAATGGATAGCCTGTACCTGTACTCCCAGCACTCTGGGAGGTTAAGGAAGGAGGAGCACAAGTTTTTGAATAAATTATTTTGACACTGTCCTAAAAATTAAAAAAAAAAAAACAAACAAATTTGAAACAAAAACAAATTTTAAAAGTGCATACATATATAGCTCATGCAGAAATTCCCGGGATCAATGAATATAGTATACAAACTGCATAGTATGAAACTATGCAGTTTCATAGTAGACAAAGTTATATAGCATATGAAGTATACTATAGCTTCATATATATAAACTGCATAGGATGAAAACTTTAATCTACTTATAAGTGCTTTCATATTTTCTCTATTAATATCTACTTGTGCTACATTAAAATAAGAAAAGCTGAAAAAGGGGTTGTTTGTTTTGTTCTGAGACAAGGTCTTGCTATGTACTGCAGGCTGACCTTGAGTCACCAAGTATTTCAGGCTAGCCTCGCACTCCCTGTGATCCTGGTGTCTAACCCACCTGAGTGCTGGGATTCCAGGCATGCACCACCATGCCTTGCAGAAAAGTGTTTTTTTTATATCTTTTTATTTTAAAGAGGATAAAACCAAATGAAACAAAACAGAATAGACTCAATCAAAACAAAATAGATGAACCTGGTACATGACTTACAAACAAAATCCAACAATAGGATGTTTGGCCTGTCTCTCAGCCTGCACAGAAAATGACTCAACACCTTGCTGAACTCCAAATTTGTCCAGATAATTGGGCAAACACCTAGATTTTTTAAGATGTCTTAAACATGCTTTGTTTAAGGACCAATTCATATCAAGTGCCAGGGAAAGAACACAGAAGTTTGATTTAGTATTTCTAATTTCTGGAATTTATCCCAAGAAAAAAAGATATATGCTCAACGCAGTTTTTCTAAGAGAAACTAGACTTGTGTACACAGTCAGTAACAGGATAACTAAGTACAAGTCTACCTATGCATGTAATATAAACAAACAACATTATGCAAATATATAAATGATGTGAGCAGAACTGGGTAGTAATCGTTAGAGACAGCCGAATATAGAGAAGATGGGTATTCTGCAGCAGGGTTTAACAATGTGGGTGAATTATTTTCATTTGTGGATTTAAATTTTTAAACACTACTGATAACACTTCCTCATGCCTCAAAGCCCCAGCCCACATTCATTCTCCTCACAAAACCTAAACACCCAAGTGCCGCCAATATTAAAAAATCAGAAACCCCCATATCAATGGAACGGACTGGAGTCAAAGCATGTGCAGGTAGAATAATAACTGCTGTCTTACTGTTACATCTAGGTCCTCTCTCAGTCTCTGCAGGAAGGACTTCTGAGTAGAATCCAATCGTCCTTTCAGGGTAAATGTCCGCGGCTCAGTATGGCCAAGCTCACTGACAGCAGAGGCCATGTGAAACCCCAAGCTGCTGCACCACAGGTCCCAAACCAGGGCTGGGTTCCCAGCAGCGCCTGTCAGGGGGGACCAGAGATCCCGGGCGACATGTCAGGCCTGGCCATGCTGATCCCCTACGGAGAAGAGAGAGGAAGGGAGAGAGGGGCCCTGCAGACCTCAGGCCAGGTCGCCTCAGCACCGCGCCTGCTGCCGCCCTGGGCCCCCCGACCCGAGACATCCCTCCCTGGGCACTTGCGCAGCAAACATCAGGGCCACCGGGCCAAGCCGCCACTCACCGTGGGCTCTGCCCTTCTACCTGCCCCAGACCCCAGCCCTGGCCCTGCCACAGCCTAGGCCACCTAAGGAAGAGCGCTCCAGTCGCCAGATGGCATTGCTAGCTGCAAAATAGCGACTCCAGGCACAAGACCAGCATCCACTACAAAGCAAGGCCGGGGCGGGGCGGGACTGAGCTGGGATGTGCAGGCGCGTGGCTCAGGGTGGTCCATGGGCGCAGCCCGCCCAGGTTGGGCCTGATGAAGTTTAATCTTCCTTTGAGACCAGGAGGTGGGGTCAAGCGGTGTGAGGGGTGGGCAAGGGGCGGGTCCAGAAGCTGGGATCCAGTAGGTGCAGAGTCCTCCTGTGAGGCAACAATGACGCAGTGGGTGTGGCAGTGGGGTCTAGGGTCCCGCTGAGGCAGGTTTGGCTGCAGGTGGAGGTCTCTGATGAGGCTTCTGGGAGACCCAGCCCCAGGCCTATTATGAGAGGAAGCAGAGGAGTGGACTGAGGCTTGGAATTTATAGATTTTTGGACTCAAATCTTCCAGGGCCTGAAACCTTAGACACACTTGGGAGCCTCAATTTCCACTATTGTTACTCTCCTATTATTTTGCTTTGAAATATTGAGGGTGTTTTCGGTTAAAAAACAAACCTGAGGAATGGTAATACTCATCTCTGGGCACTGCTGTGAAGATCTGATGAAAACCCTGCAGAGCTCTTCCCATGGTTCGTACCATATAGCAAGTGCTCAGGTATCATTGCTATTTGCATTGTTGCCCTTCTTTTATTACAGAGAAATGAGTGCTTTAGGTGTCTGTTATAGAATGTCTTCATAACCTATATGTATGTTTACATGTGAATATAACATACTAACAAGCATATTTAACACTTATGGATATCAGGCCAGGGCCTCTTTGAGGCACTTTACATATGTTAATTCTTACAAGAGTAGGAGTTAGGAATTATCTTCATTTTCATAGCTGTGTGAGCCTAGACACCAACATAAAATACCTTTTCCAATGACAAAGCAATGGACAGAATTTTAACCCAGTGGGCCTTGCAATACCATCTCTGTTAACAAACCGATACTTAGCACAGTACAGCTGCAGTTCTGCTTTGGATTTTTCAGTTTTGCTGTTGTGGCTGCCTCAATGTCTTGAATCAATTGAAACTATTTACCTTTTGTGATAACTCGGACCCTGGTATAAAATCCAAGGAAGCAAGAAATTAAAATTTGGGAAGCAAAGGCTTTATTTCCAGGCCTGGTGACACAGCCCCCAGGAGCCAATTTGGAGACTGCACCCCTCACAGCTAAAAGTCAGGGCTTTAATCTTGTAAATCCACAAACAGCTGTTGGTCACACAATGTAAGGAGGGGCATGGGGGTGTGGCGCACTACAAAACAGAAATGGCAATTGCAAGTCTCCCTGCATACAAGCAAGTTTAGATAAGAAGTAGTCTTGTTTTTCTTAGCAAAGAATAGAGTCTAACAGCAATTAACAACCTTAGTTACCTTACTTTAGCACCACAACTGTTATTTGTGGAGGGCAACAATGGTTAACATATCAATTAGTTAGGATTTTACAATTTTTTACACAGGAGAGCACTGATTAACATATCAATTAGGTCATCCAAAGGGAATAGGAAAACACATACAGTAAAGCCAAGTTACAGGTATTGCTATGATACAAATATAACAAAGCTATTTTTGTGAAGAATAGTACAATCTAATACAATCTAATGCAATGAACACAATTTGTGATGGACCACGAGGTAAGGAAGTGGGTTGTCAGGAGCTATTACCTCAGGCCTTTGTTTTATGGCCTTTTGGGAAGTTAAAACTTAACCTAGTTAGATGTGAAGGGAGACGGGGAGGGAAAGCAGCAGGTGGCGCTTATACAGAACAGGCTTCGGTGCGATAATTGGGGGCCTTAGGTTATAACACCTTTCATGGTCATTTTGATTTCGGAGAAGAATCTGAAGTCATAAGGATCCCAATCTGGTGAATTCAGTGGATGAGGCTGCACCGTAATGTATTTATGAGCCTTCCTTTCCATTGAATGGCACTCAGCAACTGCATTCACTATATTTTTTAATCTCAATTTGTAAAGACACTCACAAAGGAGGACTTCCAAACTGCTTCAGAAAAGCAAGAACAAATGGAGAAGTGTGTTTGAAGCAAAGAGATGTATTTTCTTCCATTTATCTTTAAGGAGGTGTTTTTTAAGGAGGATTAATGGGCATGCATCTTTTATTTTAGTAAATTTTAAAAGTATGAATATTAGATGTATATTTTGATCAGCCTTTGTACTTCTTCCTTGAGGTTGTTAATTAAACATCTGCATATTCACTATCCCTTATACAAAATAATTTGGACTAGAAGTGTTTGGAATTTCTGAATTTGTTTTTTAATTGAAGAACTTGCATAGACATCATATGTTGTCTTGAGGATGGGACCCAAGTTTAAATATGAAATTTATTTATAGTTCATATATAATTAAAACTCATAGCCTGAGTTTTATATATTTTTATAATTTATATATTTTTAATAATTTAAATATAAAAATATATTTTATATATAATTTAAATTATAAATATATTTTATATATTTTATAATTTTATATATTTTTAATAATTTTGTGTTTGACATGTGTACTATGTTGTTTCTCTGGTGTGGGAAACTGAAAATGTAGATAAGAGGCAAAATAAAATAAATATTGTGAACATTATCTAATGAGATGGGGAATTAGGGATGGAGGAGGGAGAAAGGAAGGAAGGGAAAAAATGATGAGAAAAGAAGGAAACAAAACTTTCATAAATAAGGAGGGGAAGGGAGTTGAAGCAAAAGTAGGACAATGGAGAATAAAAAATTCATAACATGTATGTTGGAAATTTCCCATGATTAACATGATCGTTATTTACACCTAACATGTACAAATAATCTTAATTAAAAAAACATTTTGTATTTGAAACAAAATTTGTTGCTGTGAAATCTTCAACTTTTGTCATAAAACATGTGTATTCCAAAGTTTTGGACTTTGTAGCCTTCAGACTTCAGACTTTGGATTAGGAATGCTTAACATGTATTTGAATAGTGATATGATGAATGTCCTCCCCCCCCTCAATAGACTGTAAGCTTCATGGTGAGAGAATGAGAGCAGGCTCTTTGCCTCTACTAGTGTCATGGTAAACATAAATAAACATAAATGTCAGTGCCCCTCCCAAGCCTCATGCAATCATGGATGCGGCCAAATCCAGTATTTCTGATTGGTTCATTGTCTAGTGCTTAGATTGGTGTTATGTGTGCTACACGTGCAGCGGGGAGGAGCTAGCATACAGTGTACCTGAGAGAAAAAGGCATTTCTTTCTTTTCGTTGTTCATGCTTGCTTTTTGTAGCCATCACAAACTGCTGCCCCTCAGCCATTTCATTTTGCTTTGGAGCCAACTGAGTGTGGACTCAAACCTCTGACCTGTAAGAAATAAACTTTCCTTATTTCATGTTGGGCATCAGGTATTTTGTCTTGATAATCAGTGAAAAGTAAGTAAGACAACTGGGAATCACTATATCTCAGTACCCGACTCAATGCCTGACACAAGAATGGTGCACTTTTGTTGACAGAAAGAAAACAAGCAGTAGCACACAATTATAGATTTGCATCACATGGAATGTCATTACTTCCAAGGTTTTGCAGTGAAATGTGGTCTCATCAGTTTTCCCTCAGAGGGTACTAAGCTTGTAATTTCTTTTGCTTTATTGTAGGGAATAATGCTCCTCTATCCAGTTTTCATTCTCTCTATGGTCTTAGAAATCAATTGTAAGCTGTTATATAAACTTATGCTGGGCATGGAACTCAGGATCTCTTTCATACTAGGCAAGTGCTCTACTTCAAGATATATTCCAGCCCTCCCTTTCTTATTCCTGGAGTTTAGACCATGAGAATGTGCTATGGTGGATGTCCAGCCCAAATGACTCACCAGGGAACTGCAGTTTTAGCCAAACGCTGACTGAAGTTATAGGACAGTCTACTGTGATCAAGAACTACCCAACTGAGCCTAGTCAAACCAAAAAATTGAGTAATAATTATAAAATTTTGCAATAAGGCACTGAGTTGGGAATGCTGTGTTATACAACAATGGCCAATGAGCAAGAAAGAAGTAAGAGAGGCACTATTCACAATAACCAAGGCAAGCAATCAGTCTAGGTATCTGTCTACAGGAAAACAGGCAAAGCAAACATGGCATGCACTTGTGCACACAGACATACACACACACAAACACACACACATACACACACACACACACACACAAATCCTGTTCAAACATAAAGAAGAATGAAATCTAGTCATATGCAGAAAAATTCAGGGAAGTGGAGGATATCATGTTTAACAAAATAATTCAGACACAGACCAATATTGCATGTTTTCTCTCATATGTGGAAAATAGAAAAAAAAGTAGAAGAGGGGCTACACAGGTTTGGGAGGACAGTTAGGAGAGAGGGTGTAGGTAGCAGAGGGGTTGACCAACTTGATCAATGTACAGTATATGCATATATGAAAATATCATAATGAATTTTCTTACTCTGTACAACTAGTATGTGTCAATAATTATATTTTTTAATGGAAAGGAAATGGAACAAATTTTAAAGCATGTGGGCAGTTTCAGGCTAATGCAGACTTTGCTTAGTAATCCCTTGCTCCTTTGGGGATTTGCAAGATATAGGAGAGCCTAGATTGTTGGAAAAATATCAATAGCCATATTCAAGGCTCAGACTCTTGGATGTGGAACATGAAGCAAGAGGTTCAAGGCTAAGTATCTTTCTATCTTTGATAAAAGTGTTTTTATTTTCCCCCAAGCAATGTATTGTACCAGAGTGGTTCCCTGACTCCAGATGGTGGGAGGATGGAGGGGTGGCTGTCTGACTCCAGGAACAGGGTTTGCTTGCTGACTCTACTATTGCAGAAATGATTTTGAACAGATCATCTTACTTTTCCACGCTTTGTTTTCACACTTAAAAGCAATCACTTATTTTAGCAGCTATGTAGAGAATGCAGATGAGAAATAGCATTTCCATGGTGTTCAAGAGTCAGAGGTTGCCAGAGTGTTTTGCAACTGTTCTTCAGCTTTGCATCTCTGGCCATCAAGGATGGACAAGGCTCTTGTGTTTCCCTAAGGATAACAGGAGGACAATGGCTTCTGCAGAGGGAGGCAGCAGAGCCCTAAATCAGGTCACCTTGCAAAGGGGCTTTGAATGTTTTGTCATTGAATCATTTTCCCATCCTCTAATTTTTCTTTTTCTGTTGCCCCTCAATCATTGTTTTGGTAATTATGATAATATTTACACATTTCAAAAGGTCCAACAAAC